AAAATACTATTTCGAATTCAGAACAAACCGAATATCAGTGAAGGCTTTCCGAGCTGTGCCTTAGTCGAACTGGCGGCTGTACCGAAACAAAACCTGTGCCAAAACTAGCCGGCGAATGCTGGCTATCAAAAAAAAAAAAAACAAAAGCCGACAGCCCGCCGCGCAACAGGTACAGTCTGCAAATACACGAATCTCGCACTTCCGCAACCCGCCACAGCCTAGCGGAGTCCCGCACAGAATCCTCGCCTGCGATTACATTTCGCTACCGTATAAACCCGTCTGTGACGAGAATTCAAATCGAACACCGAACGTTCCGAGGGAATTTGAAATTCGAACGTGTGACGCGACGGATTTTCATACCGCAAATTTGAATTTCAAAAAAAAAACAAAAAAAACTCGTTCTAAATTTGAAATTGCCCGAAGACAAAGTTGAATTATGTGCAACGGTCGATGTCGATTTTTATTTCGATACGAATAAATTTGAATCGAGATGTTATGTTCTTTTTTTTTTTATTGTATTATGCCACGATTGCGAAATGATCGAAAATTTTTAAATTAAAATTCGAATAGAGTTGGAATACCTTTATCGATTCGAATAAAAACAAGCCGTTTAATGAACAGAATACGCATATTGTTACCGTTACTCGTTTAACAATAGAGACGTTTTAATGTTAACCTCTCGACGGCGAAACGGCGCGTCCGAAGTTCGAGACTATTGAATTTTCGCTCACAAAAGGAAAGTTTTTCAGGAAATGCGCCTTGTAACCGCCTGTTGAGGCCGTTTTGTATTTTAGTGTAACTCTGACGAAAACGGATAGCGTATTCAATTAAAGTTTATACCGCAGCGCTGAATTAACGTTCAAGGGCCGTCTGTAATTTCAGAAGGCCGATTTATTAACTCCGCAGCGTAAGCCACAAATATTATTTAATTATTACTAGTGGTAGGACCTCTTTACTGGTGGTAGGACCTCTCTTACTGGTGGTAGGACCTCTTGTGAGTCCGCGCGCGTAGGTACCACCGCCCTGCCTATTTCTGCCGTGAAGCAATAATGCGTTTCGGTTTGAAGGGTGGGGTAGCCGTTGTAACTATACTGAGATCTTGGAACTTATATCTCAAGGTGGGTGGCGCATTTACGTTGTAGATGTCCATGGGCTCCAGTAATCACTTAACATCAGGTGGGCTGTGAGCTGGTCCACCCATCTAAGCAATAAAAAAAAAAAAAAATTAGCCAGCCGCTCGATTCTCTTTAAATATCTCGTTTTGTACCTATCCGTCTATTAGAACATTGATGTCATCTACTTTTGTAAAGGTCAAAGATTATCTATTGCCTGTTTAACATGAGTGTCACATCTAGATAGATAACTCACTGTTAGGGCATCAATGTCCTGCGTTTAGAATATTCGATACGCATTTAAAACGAAAATAACTTAATTAAATATAGTAACGAACGCCAGACGTGAATGTGCAAATAATATTAATCATATAACGAAAATCGATAACAATAGATTTCAAAAAAAAAAAAATCGATACTGACCACCGACGAAAACCGTTGGAAACTAATTAAAAACATCAATTCCTCGCGCGATGGCGGGGGAATATCTCAAACGCACGCACACACACGCACGGCCACCCCCGGCACACACACGCGCGCGCCGTACACGCACACTACAGTTAAAAATAAGTCCCGTACCGTATCCGCCTCAGAGAATGGTCTTGGATCTGCACAAGAAAGGGAAATAGTAGACGATTTTGTTTACTGTTCGATAATTTAAAAAAAAATTAAAACACGAATATTACGATTCTGTTTTTGAAATTTTGAAACGTTCGATATTTTGTTTATTTTTCTTTATTGATTCGACTTGAATTCGTGCAGTGATATTTTTGAATTTGGAATTGTATTACTGAGCTGGAGTTTGGTATCTATAATAAGCAAAAACTTTGTATCCCTTTTTACGAAAATTGCGCGGACGGAGGAGTATGAATTTTCCCCCACTTAAAGAAAATTTAGAGAAGGAGTGCAGAATGTATTTTTTTTTATGCATAAAAATACATAAATTTTTATTTTTATTTTTATTGAAAAATATATTTGACACACACGCATACATTATATACTCTGTTATTTATTGTAAAAATCTGTGGTCATATTGAAAATAAAATAATATTGTTCGTCTTTAATATAATTTTTCTATTGCGTAGCCTTGGCGAAACCTGTGATCATAGAGGTAATAAAGTCTTTGACGATAGAACCATAATAATGTTCAAACTTATAGTTAATTTGTCTGAATAAATATGACAACTTCAAGTAACAGGTCGATTAACTTAAAAGTCCGATTAACGAGAAAAGAACAATAAAAGTTAATTAGTATTTCGTAAATTGTCTAGTGCTAGGTTCTGAACGTGCACAGATGCCCAGTTCTAGAACTTATCCGGGGGGAGACGGGGATAGCCGCGTGTCTTAAGGCGGAGCGGGACGGAGCGCTGAAACCGAGTTATCGTAAATTGATCTGGGCCGGGGGTGGCGCTCCCGGCGGCGACGCGCTCCCAAATTTGACAGCGATGGAAATTGGCGGGAAAGATTATTGGTTGCAGTCTTCGATTTTTTTATCGAGTTCCGAATTTGAATTAACTTTTTTTTTTTAAATACATACACGCGAGCAAATTTTTTTGGTCATGATTCGAATTTGGCGCGTTCGACGTAATTTGAAATCGGAATTACAACATCCGCCCGATCTCGAAACGAGGCTAAAAAGCGGCCGCCAACTAGGTCACGTAGGTCAGGGATGATCGCCCCCGATATTAATTTATTATTATTATATTTACGTTTCGTTATTAGAAATTTCATAACGTTATCAAGGACTCTCGATGCGAATGTTTAGTATAATAAAACGAGTTTTCTGCTCGTTTTGTCTCAGCTGTTCCTTCCTCACGTACAGACGACCTCATAAAACCTTGCACACACCAACATCTTAATATCGGGATCGGAACGCTTCGAGCGATTTTAAAATAAGAATATCATAACTGGCCACCGGGGTGGGGGGCGGTGGTGGATTTCGGAAGAACGTTCGCGTCCCCCGTTCGCTTTTAAAAAAAAAAAAGTAAGAAAATTTTCGGTGGAGCGTGATATTTTTTAAAATAAGAACCTCTTTCGTGGCATATTCCGCGGAGAGATTTTTTAAAATGAGAATAGTTTCCTCCGTCCCCCTCCCCGTCCGTCTGGAGTTCGAAATAAGAATTCGGGGGCCAGATTCGGGTGGTTCGGTTATATTCGAGGGGTGTCGGGGTGTTCCTTGATGAGAACGAAGGTTTTTCGTAGAATTTCGTTAGCTCCTTTCGCTGGGGTCATTGAACGGCGGAGTCGATACTTCGATTCGCTGTTAATGTATACTCTTTGTAATTGGAACTTTTTTTTTTTAATTTAAAATGAATCGAAGTACATTCTTTTGTAATGAAATGCGAATATTCAAAATAAGGACATATTATTATATTATCATAGAAAGTGGCAGTGAGAGGAATGAAGTTACCGTATCGAAATTGCTTTGCAGGGTAGTTTTAAATTCACACTGTGTTTTTTTCGTTTAAGGATACAAACAATTACTGGTGGTAGGACCTCTTGTGAGTCCGCGCGGGTAGGTACCACCGCCCTGCCTATTTCTGCCGTCAAACAGTAATGCGGTTCGGTTCGAAAGGTCGGGCAGCCGTTGTAACTGTACTGAGACCTTAGAACTTATATCTCAAGGTGGGTGGCGCATTTGCGTCGTAGATGTCTATGGGCTCCAGTAACCACTTAATGTTAGGTGGGCTGTGAGCTCGTCCAACCATCTAAGCAATTAAAAAAAAAGATATGAGTAGGTACAGAGAATCCGTTGCCTATGGTCTATGGATCAGTATTTCCCCGCTACTTTTAGTCTTTAGCTTCTGTATAGTCTCTGTCTACAGCCCTCGAGTTAGCTGAGCGAAACTTAATTTGTCGTAGTTGAAGAGAGTAGGAATCCTGGGAATTTAGATTATCATAATGCAATCCAAGACGCTCAGAAAAGAACATGGGTTTTTTTGTGTAATGCTTAGAGGGATGGACGAACTCACGGCCGACCTGATGTTAAGTGATTACTGCAGTCCATAAAGATCTACAGCGTAAATGGCGCCAGTCACCTTGAGATATGAGTTCTAAGGTCTCAGTATAGTCACAACGGCTGCCGTCAAACCGAAACGCATTACTGCTTCACGGCAGAAATAGGCAGGGTGGTGATACCTACCCGTGCAGACTCACACAAGGTCTTACCACCAGTTCTTCGGGGGAATACGGGTTATACGGGGTGAAAATGAGCTTGGAAACGAACCGTGAACAAATGAGGTTTTTCAAGATATTATGAACTTTATCATGAGTGTTGGAGACAGTGAGAAGAGATGATTGAATCATTTCGAATAGCTCCCCCAAAGATCACTTAAATACGAGCTGTTGTCATATTGAAGCTATATTATGAAGATATGTATCTCGTTAATACGCTTTTATTAGCTTCAGACGTATGTATGTTAGTATGTAACGGAATCTTTGAACATGATTTTGACCCCCTTCAAAAAGTCGGATTAACTCGAAATTTGGTATACTTATTAAGGACCGATGCCAATTCAATATTTAAAAAAAAAAATGGTTTTTTCTTTTTTTTTTGAGAAAGTTGAAATTCAACTAAAAAATAAAAAATAAATGATAGTTTAAAAAAACTAACAAAATAGGCTTTTATAGAAAATCTAACTAAAAAATAGTGGTACCTACCCGTGCGGAGTCACAAGAGGTCCTACCACCAGTAAATACGCAAATTATAATTTTGCGGGTTTGATTTTTATTACACGATGTTATTCCTTCACCGTGGAAGTCAATCGTGAACAATTGTGAAGTACGCATTTCATTAGAAAAATTGGTACCCGCCTGCGGGATTCGAACACCGGTGCATCGCTATATATGAATGCAACTCTGCTTTACGTGTGTTTGTTTGTTTTTCAGGGTGTTCGATGTGCCATGGCGGAGTGCTCATTCGCGCGGTGCCAGCAGGAACGTAGAGCCATACGCAAGGAGCTACAGCGCTGGACCAAGAACATGGTCTACATACTGGGTAAGTCCATTCCCGGACTAGAGATATTCGGTGCAGTGTGCTTAGTGCGAGTTCTTTAACGTTTTCGATAGCGTAAAAGTTAACCCAATTTTGTATGCAATTGGAACAGCGCCCCTAGCGGCAAACGTAGACAAACGACTCCATACAAATTGGAGTTAACTTTTACGCTATCGAGAATGTTAAAAAACTCGCACTGAGCACACAGACGTCAATTGTGATACGCCAAAAGTGGCTTTATCGGTTGTTAATGCAATAAGATTTCGGGCTAATGTCTCGATGTGTTGATGTCCACGGGCGCTATTAGCCACAAATCCAAAGGTTCGGCGAAGTAGTGCTCTTATTAATTTATTACGCTTCATGTCAAATTTGCATTGGCGGACTTAATGCCTATGCATTCTCTACCAGTCAAACAAAAGTAGTGCTGAGTAAATAGTGGTAGGTGCAATGAGATTTATATTAAATTACAAATACATACTTGTACACACATACATAAATATAATAGCTTATACAGTTTTCAAAGGAATATATTAATAAATTCACTTAACAAATAACTTTATCTATATATTAATACGTGAAGCAAAAACTTTGTATCCCTTTTAACGAAAATCGCGCGGACGGAGGAGTATGAAATTTTCCACACTTATAGAGAATATAGAGAAAAAGTGCACAATGCTAATTTTTTTTTTAAATAATGCATAAAATAAACATTAAATCAATAAAGAAAACATTACACACCCTACCATGTATTGACGCACACACGCATGCATACTATTTATTTATTGTCAAACTTTTGTTCTTGACGTCTGTTGTGAAATTGAAAATAGATTAAATATTTGCTTGTCTTTATTAATATTTTTCTATAGTGTAGTCTTGGCGAAATTTATGATTATAGAAGTATAAATAGTCTTTGAAAATAGATTCATAATAGTGTACAAACTTCTAATTTCAAGTAATTATAGTCGAATTTCGACTACCGGGTGACCACTAGTCTTAATAAATTCATGACAATTCTGCTAACTTGAACGCGCACCGGTTAGTTAGCTTTTACTAGAGCAGATGTTGGTAAGTGCGCGTCTCCCAGTCAAATTAAAGCCAGAATAGTCCCTCCAAAAAAAAGGCAAATGCTAGGCAAAAACACAAATAACAAAAAAAGCCCATACGAATTTACGGAATACGATGAAATATTTCTTTTTCCGAATCCCCAATATCGGAATGGTAAAATGATGACCGAAAATAAAAGCCGTGGAAGCGAACGAGGTCAATTGTACGATACTGCGGCAGGCGGCGGTAAATATTCGCGAACACTCACGCGGCACGGCGGCCGGGCGCCATCCCGACCATAATACCGTCGGTTCAATTCAAACACGAAAACAAAAAAAAATGTTTTTGACGCAAACATGTAAACTGCAATTCAATGCGTGTGTTTTTTTATTGCTTAGATGGGTGGACGAGTTCACGACCCATTTGTTGCTAAGTGGTTACCGGAACACATAGATACTACAACATAAAAGCCGCCACCTATCTTGAGATATGAGTTCTAAGGTCTCAGTATGGTTACAACGGATGCCCCACCCATCAAACCGAAACGCATTACTGCTTCATGTATGTTCATGTGTATGTTAATTACGTCATCACCTCGTCGATATATCGTTGGTAGCAGGGCTATTCCAATTACGCGTCAACCGGGACCACGTCATACACTTACATCTTAAGACAGGAAGGTGAATGTTCATTTAACGGTCTTAAGCCATAGACACAGCCCACTGAGTTTCTCGCCGGATCTTCTCAGTGGGTCGCGTTCCCGATCCGGTGGTAGATTCTGCGAAGCACTGCTCTTGCTAGGGCCAGTGTTAGCAACACTCCGGTTTGAGCCCCGTGAGCTCACCTACACACGTTAGGGCGAAGCTGAAATAGCCTCTCAAAACTATCAGCATAGGTAAAAAAAAAAATGGCCGTCAAATTAGATATCCAGATTGCTTAAAGGCAGAAATAATCAGAATGGCGGCACGCACAACTAGATAAGCGCAAAGATCAAAATAAATGAGAAAATCCAAACAAGATGTCTCTAATTTTACAAATTCCATGGACTGATTTGCCAAAACTAATTAATTCTCAAAGGCTGTCTGATAGATTGTACATTGAATCAAATTATTGTAAAGCGCCCGAGAAGAAAGCTAAAGCTCTCCGAGACGAAAGCTCTAAACATTTTTAAGAACGTAATGTAAAGCGCGCGGGGTCATCAACCGTTTAACACATTGTCATCGTCGTCGTGGCGTAAAAGATAAGACGACCGGTGCATTCGTATCGAGCGATGCACCGGTGTTCGAATCCCGCAGGCAGGTACCAATTTTTCTAATGAAATACGTACTCAACAAATATTCACGATTGATTATTATGTATGTTATATTATATTATATATGTTACTGGTGGTAGGACGTCTTGTGAGTCCGCGCCGATAGGTACCACTATGCCTATTTCTGCCGTAAAGCAGTAATGCGTTTCGGTTTGAAGGGTGGAGCAGCCGTCGTAACTATACTGAGATCTTAGAACTTATATCTCAAGGTGGGTGGCGCATTTACGTTATAGATGTCTATGGGCTCCAGTAACCACTTAACACCAGGGGGGCTGTGAGCTCGTCCACCCATCTAAGCTATAAAAAAAACATATACGTTAAAAGTGTAGTAAAAATAAAATCTCTAATATCTAAGAGCGTTCTTCCTCGAACACAAACAAACACTTGTTACACTACGAAATGTTTCATTATATTATATTCTGAATATGAACAAAGTTTGTCCGCAAGCGAATTTCGACCTTAACGCGCCTGCGATTCAGTACAATTAAGACCGGTTCTCCTTTAAAGCAATAATCGTTTTATAAGAACATGTCTGAGTTTGAATGTCCCAAACCCTGCATCGGTTATGAAAGACAATTTTTCTAGGAACACGATTGACTTCCACGGTGAAGGAATAACATCGTGTAATCAAAATCAAACCCGCAAAATTATAATTTGCGTAATTACTGGTGGTAGGACGTCTTGTGAGTCCGCACGGGTAGGTACCACTATGCTTTCTGCCGTGAAGCAGTAGTGCGTTTCGGTTTGAAGGGTGGGGTAGCCGTTGTAACTATATTGAGATCTTAGAACTTATATCTCAAGGTAGGTGGCGCATTTACGTTGTAAATGTCGGTATGTAAATAATGTCGGCGGTGGTACCTACCCGCGCGGACTCACAAGAGGTCCTACCACCAGTTTCAAAACCGTATCACCCGATGGCTTGCCCGATGTTGGAATCGAACCCACGACCCTCAGCAACAGTCAGAGCTAGCTACCGCACTACCGAGTCAGTCTAAATTTAGTCACATTTAAAATATGTGTCCATTGTTGTATTATTGTTGTATTGTGTTGTATTATTATTTCGGCGCTAGTTTTATTAGACGAGACAAGAAATAAATGTGGGTATTACTATTAAGTAACTTAATTTGAATAGTCCACACACAAGGTCAATGACCCGTAATTAATATCAATATAAATAAATCGAGAGTTGAAAGGCTAATTGCATACCCGATCCTGCGGACAGAATGGAAAGCAGTCGACGTCGCCCTAAGCACGTCATTTCGGATCCTCCCGATCCACTAACTGTGCTTTTGGGTACCTCAAGCACCGGTCATCGTACTCGTCGAACCTGTCGCTTGCGACGAAGGACGCTTGCGTCGAGTAAATTAACCCTCAGACACAGCCCCCTGAGTTTCTCGCCGGGTCTTCTCAGTGGATCGCGTTTCCGATCCGGTGGTAGATTCTGCGAAGCACGGCTCTTGCTAGGGTTCGTGTTAGCAACGTCGTCAGGTTTGAGCCCCGTGAGCTCACCTACTAGTTAAGGTTACGCTGAAACAGCCTCTTAAGGCTCTCAGCTTAGGTAGGAAAAAAAAATGCTATTTGTTTTATCTTTTTAATTAAAGCTCCGTTTTATTTGGTCTCAGCATCAACAGTCCGATGTTTTTAATTGTACTTCAATTATGTTTACTCCATTCAAATAGTTGAAGAAGTTATTTTGTTATAACATCTTTTTTTCAAATTTTAAACTTTAAATGGCTCCATGTAAAGTTGCAAAAATGTCGCCTAAACAAAATAACCTTTCCCCCTTCGATAATAAAGATGTATATCGTTATGTTGGTCATACTATGCGTTGATATGCTATTCGTACGATTGTAATTGAATATGCAACTTCGAAAAGGCACATCTCTGAAAATGAATAAAATGTTCAGGAAATGCAAAAAAAAACTGATTATTTTCTAAAGCAGTGTAAAATTTAAAATAATAACTTTTGAGATATATTTTAGTGTTAATTAGCAATTGAAAATTAACTGGAATTATTATAAAATGGGTGTAGGTAAGCCTCAAAACTACATGTATATGAAAAAACGTGTTTGACAAAATATGCGACATGTGCCCTTTTCGAAATTGCATATTCAATTAAATTTGCCTGTTTCCCCCGCGAAGCAGCTTTTTATAAAGCTCTCAAGGTGGCTGTGTATACGCTGCTGATGTCTACGGGCTCTGAGACCGTGAGGTCGTCCACCATGAGTCCAGTATCCTGTGAAGACCAAATTGCATTGCACTGTAGTTTACTCCTAACTAGCGCTTTACAAACTACTGCTTTTCTCGTGAAATTGCATGTTGCGTGCGATTAAGAAACTTCAACTCAGCTCTCCAAGCTTAAAGCTCTCGTATACGATTAGTTTTAAGTATATAAAATAACTTGCTATAACCTGTTATGTTAGATAAATGCTTACTATGCTAGATATCAGATACCGGTCGTATTATCGCTTAAATCTGCGTACAGTTACTACAATTGACGAAAGATGAGAATACCAGTTGGTGGTGAGTGGTTCTTCTTTTTCGTCGCTTCCTCATTGCTGAGGGTCGTGACCACCTTGGTCCAGTTTCTGCACCAGCTTCCTCCAATGTTGCCTGCAACGGTCTGCTTAATGGCGCCCGGGACGCT